TTGGTTGAGGAGAAAACCCTGCAAAAGTGTCTAGCTTTCTACTTTCATTATTAGTTTCATTAACTTCCATGTTTGAGCTTCTATCTTCCCTTAGAGGAGTGAAACTCTTTCACTTTTCTAGCTTGCTCAAAGCCTTGAAGGGTGAAAAGTGATTCACTTATTCTTCGTCGAAGATATGCTCCCTGTGTAGTGTATTTTACCTTATAACTCCTCTACTTTAAGGGATGAGAATCACTCACTTTTCTAGTTTTCTCGAAGCCATGAAGAGTGATTAGTTTCACATTCACTCTTTATTAAGAGGTGATGGACATGTATAAAGAAAGTTATATCTACGCATTCGTTTATGCTTAATTCTTTATCTTTCACTTGCTTATTGAATGATTGAATGCATCTAGCAAAGCTAAGGTACTTTGTACAACCATGAGTCCTTTCTATGACATAGATGACTCTTGGCATAGGAATACTCATTGGTTTTTTGCAAGTACTCCAGCTAGATCTTCATGACTACATTTCAATCTTCACTATTATTGTACTTCAACTAAGAATGAAATACTAATACAGTGGTTGGATGGCTTGTAGAACTACTTGCATGTTTGTAGACGGGTTGAGTCTCGGCACAGACAATTCTTGTACATCTCTACAAAGATATCGAAACTATGTCCTTAATTCCCACAATCTATCTTTATCCTTCAATTAACTTATTGACACAGGGCTTAATTGAGTTCCCAAACACAAGTATAACAACCGGATAATTGACTACATGTCCAAATCCTCGAGCTAAAGGGTGACTTTTACATTTGAGATAATATTATATTTTATCTAGAAAATCCCCTTGGAAAGAATCTTATATCATGTCTAGAAAAATCCATAAACATTATAACTTCAAATCTAAAGGGTTTCAGTAACTTTGATCTCTATCACTACTTACTTCGAAACACCAACATTAGTTCCCTATAGATTCGACTCTAGACTTAATCGGATTATTACTACAACTTGATTATCTGTACTTGAGTGTACACATTTTGGATCAAGTCAGTCACACCACCCTTGCTCTTCCATGTTGTACTAGGAGAGACCTTATATCTCTACCTCTCCTCTTCACCCTTTCTCATAAGCTCTATCATTGTCCAGGAGGATGGAGGCGTCCAGAAGTCTATATACTATGTAAGAAGGGCATACCAAGGGGCAGAGGTAAGGTACTCGAAGCTTGAAAATTTGGGTCTCGCACTTGCCACCATTACCAGGCGTTTACGCCACTACTTTCAAAGTCATACCATCGTGGTCGTTACACATCAACCACTTAAGAGAATTTTGGGAAAGCCTAACGTGTCCAGTTGACTATTCAAGTGGGCCATCAAGTTAAATGAATTCGATGTGTAGTACCAGCTGAGAGCGGCGTGCAAGCACTTGTAGACTTCGTGGTCAAGTTTACACCGTCACAGAAGTCCCAGGAGTTTACACCGCCACAATAGTCCTGGGAGGAAGTATCACGCATCCCTGCGCTCACCTACTTAGTGCATAATGCCTCCACCCACCACGAGGCAAGCTCAGAAATCGTCCCGAGAGAACCCGACGCCTCAGAGACAGCTCGACAAGCCCCAGGAGACCACACTCTAAGACTAAAGGCACCTGACTCCCTTATGCCTACTCCACCAGAGCCCTCCAAGCTCTCGCTACCGTCTTCTATACCATGTGACATAATGTACATGGATGGGTCCTCCACCAATGAGGGCAGCGGCACGGGACTAGTGTTGATCAGCCCCCATGACACTCCACTCAAGTACGTTGTCTCCCTCTACTTTGCAACATCCAACAACCAAGCTGAATATGAGGCCCTCATATCAGGCTTGAAGCTCGCATTAGAGATGGAGGCCCTCTGCCTGACGGCCTACAGTGAGTCACAACTAATAGTCAACCAGGTGAGAGGAGAATTTGAAGCGAAGGAGGAAAGAATGCAAGAATACCTGTATATAGTCCAGGCCTTGTTAAAAAGGTTTACCTACTTCCAAATTCACCATGTGCCCCGAGCGGAGAACTCCATGGTAGATGCCCTCACCTAATTCGCATCTGCCAACATTCCCATGGGCCTAGCACTGACAGGCCACCAGTTTGAGCCAAGCACTTTCAAGACAGAGGAGGACGATGATAATTGTACATCCTCTGAGACCAACTGGATGACACCCATCCAAGCCTACATAGAGGAGGGCGCTCTCCCGAACCACCCAGTGGAAGCCAAAAAGTCAAGGATGAGAGCGTTCAAGTATGTCATCTTACGTGACACACTCTACAAAAAGAGTTACTTACTACCACTTCTTCGCTTTCTTACCACTAAGAAAGCCAATTACGCCATGAGGGAAATCCACGAGGGGATATGCGAAAATCACTCAAGAGAACGTGCACTAGCCCACAAAGTAGTAAGGCAAGGTTACTACTGGCCTAGCCTGATCAGATATGCCCGAGAGTTCGTTAGAAAGTGCGACAAATGCCAACGTTTTGCAATTGTACCCAGACAGCCAGTTGAAGAACTCACCACTATTCAGAGCCCGTGGCTCTTCTCCATGTGGGGGATCAATATCCTAGGTCTCCGACCCATGAGTTGAGACCAATGCAAGTTCGTAGTGATAGTCATTGACTACTTTACTAAATGGTCAGAAGTCGAGGCTTTAGCCAGGAAAACAAACCAGAAGGTGAAAGACTTTAGATGGAGGAGTATAGTCTGCCACTTCGAAGTACCTCACGCCATTGTGAGTGACAATGCCAAGCATTTTGACAACAAACTCCTTAACAGCTTCTATGCCGACCTACAGATCAAGCAACCCCACTCCAACCCAGCCCATCCACAGGCGAACGGGCAGACGGAGGTCACCATCAAGACCATCCTCCGTAATTTGAAAACCAGATTTGAGAGTGCGAAAGGACGATGGGTATACGAACTCCCAGGAATGTTGTGAACTTACCGGACGACACTAAGAAACCCCACGGATAAAATCCCTTTTTCCCTAGCCTACGGGACAGAGGCGATCATACTCGTTAAGATTGGGGTACACTCCCTTAAGGTCCAGCACCATGAACCTACCACTAATAAAGAAGGTCTCCGCATCAACCTCAACTTGATAAAGGAGGAGAGAGAGAGAGATAGTCATACTCAGGAATACAGAGTACTAGCATCACATGACCAAGTACTACAACTCGAGGGTGAAGCCTCGTTCCTTCTTGCTCGAGGACCTAGTCCTCAAAAAGGTCATCCTGTCTACCAAAGACTCTTGGAAAAGGAAGCTAGGACCTAATTGGGAAGAACCTTGCGCGGTCACGGAAGTTGTAAGACCGAGAACCTACAGAATTCAGAATTTTGAGGGAAAAGTTATAGTCCATCCATGGAACACAGAGCACCTAAAGAAATATTAATAGTAGCTGGGGGCAAGGCACTAAGTGTATAATTCAATAGTCAATTTAGATTATCTATTGTTGTTTTGATCAATTTCCCTTGATATTTACTTCGGATTATGAAATAAAATTTCGTAAGACTTTTTCAAAAAAGTTATATCTCATAGAAGGTCATAAAGCATTTACAAAAGATAGAACACGGTCTAGCAACAAAAACACAAATACAAAGATATCATACTCCTGACGTCACTCACTGCCCCCTGATCTACTCCCACCATCACTCGCCTTCTCGTCATCATTCCCTGGAGCCTCATAAGGGATAAAGCCAGAAAAATCATAAGCTGGAAAATCTACTAAGATCTTTCTCTTGAGCTCCTCATAGCCATCAATAAAGGTGTCTGCCACGGCCCTCTCAACAGTATCCCTCTTCTTCCCTATCTCTATGGAGTAAGTCTCTGCCCTAGTAGCTCTCTCAAGAGCTGCTAGAAGGTCAGCCTCTGCTACAGCGGCCCTCCCACGAGACGCTCGCAGCTCTATCTCTGCTCTCGAGTAGGCAGCCTCTCTGTCAGCCTCTAGCTGGATAGCCCTCTCGCGGGATGCTTGAAGCTCGGTCTCAAGTGTGGCAACTCTCTCGTGTGCTAGTCTCAACTGTTCCTCAGCAGCCTCTCGCGCCTACCTCTCGAGCCCTAGCTGCTCCTCAGTAGCCCTCTATGTTTGCCTCTCCACTTCCTAACCACTAAGCACCTCTCTAAGCTTCAACCTGCTCGAAAATAAGCAAAGGAAAGGCAGTAGCCACCTACGGGAATCCAAAAGCCAGAACATGAAAGAAGGAAGCTATATACAATATCAAAGATGAGTAAAGGGCATACCAAAGTGCATCCCTCCATCGTTGTGTCAATGACGCCCTCTGGACCTCGAGAACCAACCTCCTAAATCTCTGTGACGATCACAAACCCCCACAGTCTCTCCTTGGCCAAATTCACATCCTGCAGCATGGACACCGAATCACTACTAGAAGTAGAACAACCAGGTAGAGCCCCAGTCGCCATAATGAGAAAAATGTCAGTATAACCCTCCACCCGTTGGGAGCCAACCTCCAGGAAGCTAGTGACAGATGTCCCAGGACCCGACATATGGGCACAAGTATCAAGAACCTCAAACCCGTGTCTAAAGCATCCTTATAAAGAATAATCTCACCTGAGGAGTCACTACACGATGGCTCATCCTCCTTCATCCGGCAACACATGATAGTAGGAGGGATACAGTACAAAGATACGATACAAGCGATATAGTCATCGCAGTCAATAGAGCTAAATATGGAGGTCACCTTTGAGCCATTATCTCTAGTAGTCCCCTTGCTTCTCTCAATGTCGCGAGTAGCCTCCTCCACAATGACCATGTCAGAATGGGTGCCTACCAACAAACAGAACCAAGATAGAATGAAGGTCATTGTCAAGGCAATACCAGTATCTGTTGGGCTTTTTGATAAGCCTAGTTGTGTATTGGTCCGAATGATGACCCAACCCAAAATAATATTGCCTGACTTTTAATGAGAGAGTTCCTGAGGCATAGTCCATGGAGTGGAGGCTAGGGTCGATAGGCCCAAGCCATAGCGCTTATGGACAAGCCTCTTGGGGGTTAGCAGGCAACGCGTTCGAGAAAAAAAATTTGAAGAACATCTTACCCATTTGAAGAACAAGCACGCCCGAGCCTCCACCGGCGTCGCCCAAGCCTTCGCCTACGCCATCGGGACTGCTAGCCTCCCCAATCACTTTGGCATCGCCTAAATCCCTAGAAGCAACACGAACTCTGCCTAGGCTACGATCACTCATGCCCATCGAATGCCTAGGGCAACCCAGAGGACCACTAGCGTCACCAACTGACTGCCACCCACCATGGGCACCATCTCTATCGATTCCTCGCCTCGAAGCGTCATCTGTACCTCCTACGACTGAGGTGCCACTGTCCTCCTCCCTACTGATCTCGCACAAGGCGTTAGCCCCAGCTCCAATGGCGTTGCCTCTCACAAGCCATTTGGTGCCGCCTCCCACAGGCCCACTGATGCCGCCTCTCACAGGTCCATTGACGTCGCCCAATACAGTGGCACCGCCTCCCAACGCTCCAAGCTTGGCATCCTCCTTTTCTTTCTCCCTCAATCGCAGCACCACCTAGTCCAGCCTCTTCGACACGATCAATAGCATGGCTCTCTTTGTTGCAGGGAGCGTCGCCCATAGAGCTGGTGCCACCCATCCTTTCATTGGCATCGCTAGCCCGGGTCACAACCGAGGCCACAGCAACTAGATCAGGGCTGCCCCAACCCATGGAAGCTCTATCGCTGTCGGCAAAGCCCCTGGAAGTGTGAACCACATTGCGCAAACCCACACCGCGGTCACCTACCATACTCAAGGAGTCGCCTGGAGCGCTGGCACTACCTAGCAGCCCACTAACATTGCCCAACGCCTGGGTCGACTCCTTTGAGCCATCCATCGCCTCGTTGACAACACCCATGGCTAAACCCTTGCTCTGGCCTCTACCTCCCTTCTCCTTCATCGAGACCTCCCATATAGAACCACCAAAAACACCCCTCTTCCTCTTCTCCTTTGTCTCCATACTTATCTCCTTCAAGTTTGCCCAATATTTTATGGAATGTGAAAAAAGGAACATGGTGATTTTAAGCCCTAGTTCTAAAGAGGAATATGATGGGTTTTTCCAAAAAATTCTCTTTAAAGACTGGGTGAAAGAGGAGACCTCGTCATCAAGTTTACCTAATGGGAGATTTTTTTTTTAGTACTAGTGGGAGATCTTGATCTTATTTGTTATTCTAATGATCTTATTGATGCTTGTTTTCCACTTTAGTAAGTGACGAGCCCATATCTAACTGGGTCAAGCCCAATAAATCAAGTAAGCCCAAATCTGCTAAAGGACAAGTCAAGCCCAGTTTGAGAATTCGACCAGTCCAAGATTCAAGGAGTCCAAGAAGATTAAAGCATGTGGGAAGCAATTATCGGGATACTCACTCTCGAAGATCAAGGCAACCTTTTATGTTACTTACCTTTTATGGCGACCCAGAGAATTAGTACTTTTGTCCTCATGTTACCGCCTTAACCAAGGCTCTGTGCCTATAAATTATAAGTTCTCTCTACATGAGAGGGCACCACTTTACTCCTTTGAATACCTATTGAGATCTCCCTACACTTGTCTACATATCCTACACTTAGCTTTTCTCTCTCCTAGCTATCATACCTTTCCCAAAGCTAACATTTGCTCTCTCTCTCACCTAATTTTATCCGTAAAGGTTCCCTAGCCACCGTTGCCATTTTCTGGAGTGGAATATGTCACTCAGACTGAACCACTATATATCTGCGTGTTGACCCGATATTTACATTATTGTCATTGATTGCTCTATTAATTGTCCATTAATTATACTATATCACGCACTCGACTGTTGATCTTGCATAAGACTATTTTGTGCATCATCATTAAGGATTGTTTGAAGACAATCAAAGGGAAGAAAATAAAAAAATTGGATCATGGGGTATAAATGATATTGTGTTGATTTTAATTTTCATTTCAATGATCTTATTGATGCTTGTTTCCAATTTAGCAAGGACTATTTGTCTTGATCTCATGTTTATGTTGTACAACCATTCACTACTCAATCATCAGGCGATGAAAGAACTTGGCATCCAATGGAAGAATTAGAATATGGCGAGAAAGAAAAGTATTTAGCGATGGCGAAGTCCTCAAAATAAGAGTATTATAGTTGCAAAGAGAACTCTAACAGAAAAGAAAAGGTTGGAAATCATAATATTAAATAGTCTATCTATTTGTTTTCTTATATGTTGACAATTGTTTGAAATTGCAAGTGGGAACCAGATGTTCTCCGGGAATGTTTGTGAAAGTAATACAAAGGTTAACTGAAGCACAAAAACAAGTCGTTGAAAATATTGAATTCGGAGGCTTGTTACTGCTTAAATGCAAAATACTGAGGCGAGATTTGTGCACTTGGTTGGTTGAACAGTTTGACCTAATATCATGTGTTTTGAACATTCATGAAAAATTTCTTAAGTTCTCTACCATGGATGTGGAATATATATTGGGATTGAAAGATGGAGGGATAGATTTCAACACGAGTGGCCCATCCGAAAAAATAAATGGACTATGTAATTCAATGTTTAATGGAAAAAATGATATTTCTTTGAAATATTTGAACAAAAATTTAGAGGAAATGAAAGAAGATTCACAGGACTTTTCTCTGTGTTTTTGTGTTATTTGCAATTGGATGTCTACTATGCCCTTCAACAAAGAACTCCATTGATAGTTCATTCCTCCATTTTGTGGTGGACATTGGTTCTTTGGGAGAGAAGAACTGGGCATAGTTGGTATTTGATGCTCTCCGAGAGGGAGTGCAACGATATAAGACAAATGAACAAAATAACATTAGAGGTTGTTTATTGATTCTGAAGGTAATGATAAAATTAATTGACATATTAACAAATGTAGACATTGTGATTGCAATTTTTTTTCTAATTAAGAGTAGTTGTTTGTTGTAGGTTTTTTATCTACAACACGTCACTCACCAAGGGGTTTCCCTTGTGCTAATAGAAAAGTATCAAACTATTTCGCACATCTCATCATGGGGTGATCTAAAAATCAAAGAGGGTGTGACAATCTTTAAAAAATTGAAAAGTCTGAAACAGGTAGAGGTAACATTTTATAGCACACAAATAATGTGTATGTATTTCAATTTGAATATAAATTTGTATGATGAAAATGGTTGTTTTAGGTTCCACTTGTAGAAGTACATCCTATCAATGCACGGGCACCTGAACCAAACATAGGGCCGCCTCATGCCTCGATGGAAAAAAAATCAAATGTTGTGTTAATGATGTTATATATGAAACAATATTTATAATTTTGTGTTAAACAAGATCATTTGGTATTATTTTCAAGTCATGGGAGGAAAGATTCTCCTTTATGGAAAATTCAATGGAGAAAATAATGGTGGATCAAGAAGATTTATCTACCAAAGTCGCTTCAATGATATGCATGATGCAAAAAATCATGGATGCCATGACAGAACTTAAACTTCCCAAATGCCAACATAAAACTGAGAATAATAAAGGAACCAATGAAGAAGCACTAAATGAATCTGACCATGAAAATCAGGCATGGGTCTCACTTCAAATGGTTTAAACACCAGATATAAAGGCCCTGAAAGATACACCAAGACAAACTTCAAACAAGTTGGTATGCAAACTTCTAGAGGATTCATGTTCCCACTCATGCACTCAACAAAAATACAGCCCAAAGATTTTATGAAGATATTTGAAGAGGAAGCCTTAGAGATACTTGAAATCACCATTCTACATTTTGAACGTATGACAGCATTATACCATCCATATTTTTATTAATGCCTATTAATTGGTTATAAATCTATGTATTATTTTTTTAAGCAAAATCTTCAGAGGAGGAAGCATGAAAAAAATTTGATGTTAAGCGATATGGGTAGATCTACAGTTTATATCTTTAAGGTTTACACGTCTTCCCTAGGATGTGGTTGTACTTGATTATCACATTATGATTTAACAACATATGATATTACTTTATTTTTTTAAAACATAGTTGGACAATAATGGAAATGAATAGAATGAGGATTTGAATTTGAATGGAAATAACAATGAAGAGGATGTGGATAAAGAGAATGAGAATAAGAAGGGAATTAATGATGAAGAGGAGGAGGAAATTAATGAAGATAAGAATAAAGGAAAAATTACATTAGTGGGATTATTGGACGCGCAAAAGGAGTGTGTGAATGCAAGCAAGGTTAACAAAATTACACAAGACTTTTAGGATCACCAGACCTCAAGTGTGAATGCAAGTAAGATTAACAAAATTAAACAAGACTTACAAGATCACCACACCCCGACAGTGGCCATCCATGAGATTTGTATTCCATATTTAACATAACACAATTGTCCAATTAATACGACTCTTTGTATTTTTTAAGTAGATTTCAGACTCTTTGTATTTTTTAAGTAGATTTCAGACTCCTTGTATTTTATAAGAAAATTTCAGACTCTTGTACTACATGGAACCCATCATTAGATGTGGAGTATCCACCAATTAACGAAATAACTGCTGATGACAAATTTTTTGTCTTTAATTACATATTTGACACATTCCCTTGAAATGAGGTATCGATTATATTTTGTGTCTTGTTCAACTCTATTATTGGAGCATCATAAACTACTAATCCAATTCTTTAATGATACAGTGAGGCATTTGTAAGCATTGAAACTTATTTTGCATCGAGAGGAGCAATGATTGAAGCCTTAAAACCAACAACATGGCTAATAGATGTTGTGAGTTAGATAGACATTTATTTAGTATAATTTTTATATTGATGAAAGTTTTGATTTTCGATTGTTTGGCCTCTTGAAGATAATAAATTTGGTATCCTATCTTATTCCTGAGTCCATCAAGATTAATCCATTTACAAAAAATTCAAGGTGGTACTTACCAACATGGTTTGCAGTAATGATCAATTTCACATTTATAATGTTCAAAATGTTTTTAAAAAAATGTGTACTCATAGTTCTCTCCAATACCTAGCAAAAAACACTTGGGGAAACATACAAAGATAAAACATATGAGTTACTTGATTTCTTAAGATACTTTATTTCACATTTCAAGAATAGTGGAGCCATTTTTGTGCATGTTTCTCGTATTCCAAATTTAGATTGCTTGCATTGGTTTTGACTGTGTTCTCTTTAAATACATGAATTAGATTATGATCATGAATTAGGGTATGTGTTTTTGCTAATACATTCACTGGTTTTCTCTTGATGAGTTCATTTTAATTCGTACAGAACATGCAACTTACTTTGTGGTTTGGATTGAGTTTTAAAAGTTTACGACTTTGTTGATCATTAATGAATTTTAGTTTGTTAATCTATGGTATCGTTAAGAAACTCGAAGAAATAAAGAAGCCATGGAGATTACTTTTCGATGTTCTACTGTTAAAAAAAAATTGATGATTAGATTTATTATGTTCAAGTTGATGCAAATTTTGTTGGAATTCGAGATTAAGCATAAATGAATTTCTAATTGCGTTTCTTTTGCTTGGAGTGAACATCTGGTTAACAAATATTGTGAGCTCAATAATTGTGAGTTTTTGTTGTGTTTAACACGTAAAACTGAGGTTCCCCTAAGGTGGCAGTTTGGCGAACAATATAAAGATGTGGGTTGCGATGTTGCTTCAAGTAGAGAAATAACTAGGTAAATTTCTCATTATTATGTTTCTCTGTTTTCATCTATTTTAAGGATAGATGTATGTTACTTTATGGGTTGTCTTAAGAGGTTCCAGGTCACAATCACACATAATTATGTACAAATATTCTAGGCAAAGTTTGAATGGCAAAGCAACAATTTGTCTAATTCTCTTTTTTTTGCAAACACTGTTTCTGAAACGAAGGAGAACAGCATATGGTATTTCATAAAGTTGCCAGAAAAGATTAGTTTTATTTTTTGAAAAATATTAATTTTCAATATCTTTAAGCTCACTATATTATAGTAATTTGGGTTTGACGAGTGTGTCATGTTGGGCATAGCAAGAGGAGGAGGAAGATCTATGAGAAAATGAAAAGGCATTGCAGAATCTAATTTCAAATTTTGAAATTAGTCTATCTGGTGCAATTTAAGTTCGATTATTTTGATTTATTAAGAGTTTTGATTATCAAAGTTAATCAAAACTTTGGTGTTTCATTTTTTTTATAGATGAACAAGGCTTTTATGATTGATGAAGCCATTGAGTGTCTCAAGTAGCTTCAACTTTAACTTAAGGTGCAGGTTTGTTGTTTCCTTTTAAAATATTCCACTCATGGTTGTGACAATTAAGTCCAATTATATTTTTCTGCTTTAACTTTAGAGAGAAAGTTGCATCTTCTACCTATACAAGCGTTGAATACTCACTGCCTTAGTGTACTTGAAGAATTTGAGTTGATGGGTAGATATTGACATCGACTTACAAATGGGGGGAGAAAATTTTGTTGTGGTGTTGGGTGTTGCCCTTAGCACCAAAGTGCTTTGAAGTATTGTTTTGGGAAGTGTCGTTTTGAATGTTTCTTATCTCTTCACTGAGTATGTATGTAAAATGCGGGAGTCTTAAAAGATGCAATTTAGACTTTCAATTTATGTGTGTTCAAATTCTTGCTTGATTTTTTCGTGTCCAAGATTAATGCTCAAATTTTTTGAATTACACAGTGTCTTTAAACACGAGTTATTGCCTTTTTTTTGTGTCCACGATCAATACTCAAATATTTTGAATTGCATAGTGCCTTCAGGCACAGGTTATCACTAGTAGTGATAATATAATTTCACTGTTACATTAAATATTCACTCAATTAATTGCATACGCCCTAAAATGACACGAGGCGAAGAACCTTTATTCTATCATGCCCAAAAAAATAAGTTAAATATTTTGCACTATGTGCGTTTGAATATGCAATGAAATGCATATACATTTGAATAATGGCTGCAAAAGGCAGTATACTGATTCCTTTTCCGAAGTACTTCTTTGAATTTTCAAACAAAAAAAAATGATTTTTTACTTTTTTCTTTTTTTCTTGTCCAAATTTACTCTCATCCTTCAAACTTAAATCGCATGTATAGGAATACGTATGTACACTAAAAAAAAAAAAAAAAAAAAGTTGTTTAAAAAAGAAATGCCAACACTTTTTTTCCTTTACTGTTGAGCCGGCAGAGGGATGAAGAGAAAAATGGAAATACAGAAAATTGTATAAGAGATATTTCATACTGTTGTAAATGTTTGTTTGACCAGCCCAATAAGGAGTCTAGTAATTTTGGGTTTTCTAAAGGTTGGTTTGCTAACAAGGGGCTTAAGTGAATTAGAGGTGCATCCCGGGCACGGTAAAGAGATTGAGAACCCAATTCGAACTCGATTCGTAATATAAAAAATTTTTAACCCGTTCAATCTAAAATCTGTATACTAAATTCAACCCAAGCCATTCATCCCTAGTATTCTTCGTGTTTAATTTTTTAAATCCAGGTTGAACTTGAGTCAAACAACTCCAGTAAAAATTGGGTTCAATTCAGATTTATTTTTATAAGGCGAGCCAGAATTCAAGCTTATTTTGGATTAAATCCGGTAAACGTGATTTTGATTTTTGGGTTACACAACTTGGCCTAAAATTTTAGTTTAATTCGATTTAAACTCAAATTAGATATTAATCTACACATTTGGGTGGAATTCGAATTGGCACCTGAGAATTCAAGTATTGCCCGAATTTAAATCAGGTAGAAACTTTTGGCTCAAGCCAAACCCTAGTATTAGAAATATCTAGCAAATATTGAATATTTCGGGTTAACTTCGGATTGACTGACCATGTTTGGAATTCTGTCAGTTAGCCTGACTTGCGAAAGGGACTTGTAGCATAAAAAAAACCATGGTGAGTCGATGAACTTGTGCTTCCCTACTAACTTTGATAGTTTTTGTTTTGGATTAGAAAGCATTTTCTCCAACACCTCCAACCCCATCCTACGAAGACAATGTTTTTGTTTCCACATTTGCCAAGCATACAATAATATACGGCTATTAGATCGTAGTTCAAGATCGTGATATTGGCAATTCATAGGACACTGCCAAACAATGTCACGCAATACAGAATAAGTGTTGGGTAGAAGAATAAGTTTGTACATAGCAAGAGATTAATACTTACAGTGACACACAAAAGGTATGCCGACATCACTAAATGATGAGTCGGACGACTCGTGGTCATCTCAGAATGAAAGGTGCCGAGTCAAACACGACGAAGCCGACTCAATATATAGTTTGAACCATGGAACCTTGGCTGAAAGTGAAAATAAATTAATGAATCCATTTCCACAGATGAGCTTATACAGAATGGGATGTAGTAAACGATGAATCTTATATCACCCTTTGCATCAAACAGGAGTAGATACAAACATTCTCACACAATTACCAAAACACACAACAAATTACAGACATGGTTCCTAATGCAAACTGTTAACAAATAAATTCAAGTTTCAGCTAAGCTAGAAAACTATAAACACCGAAAAATTCAGCAGCGTTTCACATATGTGCATCAAACAAATGAGCCTGTCCTTGAAACTTGAGACAAAGCATCTTCAAACTGATCATCATCAGATTTCCCGGCGCTCAAGCTTGGTGGAATGAAAGATCTGAAGACAAGTTCCATGTTTGGAATTTCCTTCAATTCACGACAAGCGACTTCAAGAGCTGTTGCTTGGAAAAATCGATAGAATTTCTTGCTACAAATGAAGGCGAAGATCAAGGACATTATCGGAAGGGGAATCAGAATTGGAGTGTAGTAGAACTTCTTCACGCCAAAGTAACCTAACATGGTGACTTGAAATAGGAGCAAGGAAGCTAAGATGCGCGTGTGAATGTGAGGCCACATCCTTCCATAGCTCTCATAGGATGGAACATACACTTTGAGTACCTGTTTTAAAAGGGTAACAAATGTCAGAAGAAAATTTTCAAAAATGCGAAATTGAATCATAAGCTTAAGGTGTTACACATATTTACCGACTTTGATCTAAAACAACTTCCACGAGTTATCATGTCATCTCAAGCTAAAACAAATGTCCAGTGCAAAGAGTGGAAATTTGGAGCGAGAAGAACTAAAGAAAAAAAAGTTTGTTTTTCGAGGAGTTCAGAAATATTTAGAGGTGTTTCAAAATGTTTCGGCCATTGTTTCGGAAACAAGTTTCCAAATTTTTCCTTTGTTTCTTTTTTATTTCCAAAATATTTTCGAAACGCTTCCATTTCTGAACTAATCAAAACTATATATCGGAACGAAATTTTGAGTGCAGTCAGTGGTTACTTTCTATCTTATTTCAACACCACATACACATCGATATGCATTTTGCAGTACCATGCTAACACGAATTTAAAGGCCAATGTTAAGACTAGTGAATGAACTATTTTCGCAATAGTTCCTTGAAATTGGAATTGGAACTTCAGAAGTATACGAAAATAAGTTACTATGCATCACCTGATTCCGGAGAATAAGCCATCCGAGGCCAAAGTATACGACACCAAATGGAATAATTATTGGAGCTATTACAGAGTAGCAAAAGACAATTGTCACTATCAGCATGTCACCAGGAACTCTAGTTCCATATCCAAGATCTCCAGGAACCCAAGCTTCTTTCAATTCAGCTTCAGTTTTGCAAAGGTACTTCCTCTTGATGTGGAATATTATCAAAGGAACTATCCGGGACAGCTCAAGACCATAGCCAACAAAGAACCTAAGTTCCATAAAATCAAGAATATCAGTTAACTCATCCTACTAGCACCACAAAGGCTAAACACTTTTGGTTGTATTGTATTTAGAAAATGCAAATGCAAACAGAAAACTCATAATACTGAATTCGTTGTTTCTATGGCATTGAAAAAAACTCAAATGTCGTACCAATGGCTAACAGGCAAATAAAAGCTTATAAACTCAAAGACCAAAAACTGAAAATACAAATATCTAAGCAGATAACTCAAACAAAGTTAAGCTTTATTGATTTTTGCTTATCAAAAATGTTTAGTTTTTTCCTATTATTTACCCCCAAACAAAAAATTTATTACTTGGAAGACAAAAAAAGATCCATTACCCTCTGGAACAAAGGGTAATTCTTTGAGGTGGAACCTTTCTTTTCTTACTTAAAAACGGAATGCAAATGCAGAAATAGTTGTCCAAATTTTTCAAACAAAACATGATAGAATTCATGTTGCTTAACCACCAGATACAAGTTCATGTAGAACAGATCATAATTACAAGCTGACCATAACTTTGGAGCATACTTTTAGCTAGGAATTTTAAAAACAGAAAAAGAATAACAAATTTACCTTTACTCATATACGTTTTCAGTTTATTATTATGTTTCATTTTGACTAACAGCATAAAATCTGTTCATAAAATAGTTTCTGATAATGGATATTGAAAATTTTCTTTGTCTATCTATATTTATGTCAGAAGGTAGTAGCATAAAATTCCTAAGATTATCGATTCAACTGAATCGGGGATTGTAGAACTAAAAATTGTAAAGTTCTCTTGAGAAAAATAATGCTGACGGAAAGGAAAGCTAGTCATATGAATGAAAAAATAAAGAAAACTGCAATCTTACTTCAGAGCCACAAATGTCAAGAAGAAAGTTGCATTTTCTGGGAGGCTAGTTGCCAGTAAGTCAACAATAGAACTTGGATCCTTCTCAATCGTCTTGATTTTACTGAAAATAAATCCACCAACTGAAACACCGATAAATACGTTCAAGACGATGAAATAGAAGTATTTCCCTGAAGCAGCCCTTATTGCATGGCTCTCCGAAGGAATGCCCTCAGCCTTTGATAGAAACAAAAGAAACTTCGGCAACAAAGCCAGAAACACAATAAGTGCAATCTGAGGTAGGTAAGCTTCCAACACTGTCTTAATCACATCCTGATCAACGACTGCCTTTAGAAATGGGAGAAGCTTCCTCAGATTCGGCAGAGTTGTAAATGCAGAGATTAATCCAATTGGGATCATGAAAAAAACTATTGTCAAAAAGACAATGACATAAATGACATACTGTCGTATCAGCCTATCATAAAAATTCTTAGGAAGATTAGGCCATATTAACTGTCGGGGTTCAGGAGCATCCATGACTGTCCATGTGTCCACCATTCGAGCATGTAGACTCACAGCTGCAGAAGCAGCAGTAACCCTGCTGGTGAAGAAGACCAGAGCTGAACCCTGCTGCTTCTCTCTGAGCGTGACTTTTTGTTCAGCTTCCAATTTTGGGGTCAGTTCATTGATTTTTTTGGTATAGTACTCTATCGAATCTACCTTATTACCAAAGAGACCAAGGAAGCCAGTTCTGTTCGTTGGTCTCATTCCTTCAGGCTTGCCTGCTTGTTTTGACTGTGCATATACAGCTTCAGCATGTGCAAGCTTCTTTTTGCACCCTTCCAACTCTTCATATATTTTATTGACCTGATAGAACCAAATGGTATGTATGGTGAAGCTAGATATCACTCTGACATCAGTAGACTATTACATGTCACACACACAAGTATAACATACATAATCAATTGAAGGTTATAATCTCATGCATTTGATTTTCCATGAATATTATAATCTCATGCATTTGACTATAAATCGTTTATGCAAATATTAAGCAACACAATGAAGCTATCTCGAAACAGTGAGCAGAGTGCATACAACAACTGGAAGAGAAAATAAACAAATGATTATGGGAGTGTATACACAGCAAAAGGGCAGGTAAACAACAATGCAATACCTCCTTGTTGTCTGTGACTACCATTGATCTGTAAAATGCCTCGGGATAGATTGTTTTGAAATATGAGTCAATCTGTTCCTTTCTAGATTGACCTTCAGGGGTAGGAGGAATGTCTCTGACAAGAACAGTAAACTGCTCAGCTCTCACTTCTGGAGACATTAAAGCTGCAGCTCTCAGATCAGAAACATGTTTGTATGCCTTCCACAGTAAGTAATATGCAACAAGAGAAACCCAATAGGTGGCAATCACGAATGCCCACAACCGTGGACTTTTTTCCTGCAACCCAAATGAGTAACAAACAATAATAAGCATATAAATTGGATGACAAAGTTAGAACACGAGTACTGCAACTTGGATCTGGGACACCTAATTCTAAGGCGTAATCTTAGATGCGGTAATCTTCCCGATCAAAGACTGATTATCACCCCAAACATGAAAAAAGATAATACAACTTACTTCAACATGTCCCATAGATAGCCTATCAAGGTCACTGAAAGTCCCATTGCTGGTGGTATTGTCTGATATCACCGCGTGATCGGTGACTGCTACTGGAAGAAGTATTGGTAACAGCACTAGGCCGGCCAAGACTAATATTCCCAATACTGAAAAAAAAAATCATAAAAATAAAGAAAAAATTAGCATGATCGTAGGCTTTAAATAACAATAAGTGCATGCTCTAAGGCCGAGTGCTGCGCGCTATAATATCCAATTGAAACGAACTCTATTTAGCCCTTGGGTTATTAATAATTTGCTTATGCACCAAAAATAGTGCATGCGAAAATATTCATCTACTACGTAAATCCTTTCATATACAGCAGATTGGTCTTGAACCTCTGTATAGATAATCGGTGTAACAAAATAAAAGCAATCTCATTTTATTTGGTTTTCTTAACTAGGAAAAACCTATAATAGGGCCTCACATGGTACTTGGTATAAATAAAGGGGATCTTAATCTAACAAAATAGAAATAATAATTTGCTCTGCAGCCTAACTCACAGATCAAACATCAATTTTCACTCTGTTAAGCAATTCTCGCTCTGTTGTTTTCTGTTGCTCCTGTGACAATTATGGTCATAGTTTCAATAGCCCCAAAATCATTACCTCAGAACTATTACAACTGAAATTTGGAAACTGAACATATTCTTTTGGTGTATTATTGAATGTCAATTGCCAAGAAGACCCTTGCTTAACTCCGATAAATTCAAGGTTCTACTACCTCTGTTCATGCCATGATTTTTAGGAAACAATGTTCATCAAATAAAAGAATGTAGTACAACGAAAGTGCCCCACCCCTTCAGAGTACTACCGACATTAATTTGTGGAAGTGTGCCATCTCTTGAACAAGTTGTTGAAAGATTCACTTTTTCTGCTTTGATAAACAATAAGTATGGCTTTCGAACAAAATAATGAGAAAGGTTATTTCTCCACTGTGGAACACTCGTTGAAGTATATCAATTTTTCAAGTTGTGGTTGGTTGTTTGACCATGAAGTTGGCTTGCAAGTCCAGTGATGTTACCCATAATTAGGAATAGATTTCATATTGGGGCAACCTTTTAACCATTGGCAGGGTGCCGGTCCTTTCCAGGAGGTCTTCTATGGCAATAGAACATCAAAATACAGAAACTGACCAATTATGACACCACCGAATATCCAAGGTAGATGTCCAATCAACCGCCCTATAGAATATCAAAAACTTGGTGTGGCCAAATGTGTATCGTGAATAAAATAGAGCTTTTGTCTATCAGAAAACTTGAAATTAACCATGAATATTTAATTTCTTCTTTCCTAAGGTGAGAGAGTGGCCCAATGGTAAAGGCTCAATCACTCACTCCTGAGTCCTGAGTCCCGCCCACAAGTGGTTATGGGTTCCAACCTCATCCACTCCCCCTACCCCAAAAAAAATTATTAATTTCTTCTTTCCTCCACTTCGATTTGTTGATAAAAAAAACTTGAAATTGAAGCAATTCTACTTCTAAACAATACTATTACTTCAGGTTTGCCTCAATTTTATTCACCTTCATAAAACAAAATACTAAAATTGTCTGATTCTAACCAACAGAAGTGAGTAAAAAAGAGGCAAACAAAAGCACCATTATGAAAGGAACAACACATTTTTTAAGATCAATAATAATCAACCACTAAAGAAGAATCCAATGTTTCAAACTAAAACACCAACTGCACCTATTTTTTCCCTATTAAAGTCAAAAGCAAAAAGCAGAAAGAAAAAGAAAAAGGAAACAGATCCTAAAAAAATGGTACAAAAATGGCTTCCATGTAAAGCAAAAGAACACATATACCTCTCCTGAATTCTTACCAAATCCACAAACCAAAAACGCCCAAATTTATATCCAATTAAACAATAAAAACATGAATATCTACAAATTCAAACAAAGCAGACATATATTACTGAACATATACATATACAGAGAGAGAGAGAGAGGCAAACCAGTGCTCAAGAAGACAAAGTAGACAGCAGAATCAACACCAGACATGGAAATAACATCTTCTTCGGTGGAAGACAGAGCCTCTCGCATCCAAGCGAAAGGGTTTCTAACTCCAGACAACCCCTCGTGGGCATCCAAACCTTTCAAGATCCGATTCGGGTAGTAAACAACATTGTTCCCAGGTTTCCTCGAAAGCCAGACAAACAAGCACATCAAAACTAAGAAAATCACCAAGGACGTCCCAAGAGACGTCAAGAACGAACTGAAATCCATCTGGGTCTCTCTCTAAACCACACAGTCACTCACCCTTTCTCTCTCTAAAACTCACAGTTCGTTGTTCTGCATGTGGGTCAGGTTATTGGGGGTCTGTGGAGAAGATGAAATGGTGAACACTAGCCGTTGGTGGAGATGGGTAATGAAGAAAAGGACTAAAGATTGGTTGGTTATATATCGCAAAGTTATAAACACGGAAACACGTATTGGCTCGTGCTTCTGAAAGAGAAATATATCTTTGGCAGTAGCATTAGCTGGATGTGGACTGGGGGGTTTACACAGAGTGATGTTATCGTCCCACTCTTTATCTCACACACAACACACACGTATCGCTACTATTAAAAGAGAAAGACAAAAGAGGGGGTTTTGGAGACAGAGCGTAAGTGAAGCAGATAAGTTGGAGAGAGTGAAAGTTGAAATAACTGAAATATGTCCTCTTTCTGTAACTGTCAAAGTCCTTAGTTTGACATTTTTGCCCATGGAGATGTAACTATATAAAGTTTGTGTTAATTGGGTTGGTTGGTATTAAATAAAGTCGGTCTCGGGTGGAAAAAGGGATTCGTATCAAAAAATAATTATTAATATTTTAATTATTTATATAAATAGGTCTAACAATTACACTTATATTATCACATACGACTCATTTATTAAATAAATTATTCAACACAATCTGTGTAACTCGTTAAATAAAATAATCGATTATAATATTTGAATCTGCAAGAAAAATCGTTCACATTGTCACACATGTCATCTGTTTGTCCTGTTTGTTAGATCAAAAATAAAGCAAAGCATAAGAACTTTCCATAATTCTTATACCCAACTCCTCAAGCGATAGAATCGAAAAGGGAGAAACATGAGAAAGAAAAATAAAAAAATAATTAACGAGCTGTAAAAACCATGCAGTATATTGGTGGGGCCGCTAGCATACCATTGTTGCATTGCTGACAGGTTAGGATACTACAACAATTATTTATAATTATTGAAGTGCCCCCACATTTTTGGAAAAAACAAAAACCCAACGGCAGAACTACTATGGTTGTCACCAACATGATGGCATGGCTTTTGGTCGTTTAAGTTGATGAGAACTTCTTTTCATGCCACTTCATACTGTTAAAAAAATAGACATGATTTAGACATCTAATTACTATAGAAAAAAATACAATATTTTTAATTAAATTATAAATAAATTTCTAAAACTATCCTACATCTATTATAGTCATTTAGCAGTGTCTTTTAAAAAAATGAGTCGAAAGTCCCTGATGGGGGGAGGACAGTGTTATTTGACATATATATAAAAAAAGGGTCGAATCATTAGTTAGATAAACTTGAAAGGAAGTAAATGTAATTATCTTTTAAAATAAGCACTAGATAATGGTAGTTTGGTTTCTCTGCTTTCCCTTTCTTCTCTTTCTCTATGTTTATGATTTTGATGGGGGTTGTAAAGGCCCTGTACAACTTCATCTTCATTATCAAGTTCACATTTGTAAATATCTTATGAAGTTCACACTTCCTATGAAACTCACAAAGTTCTAATTTTTTCAATCCAAATCTTCTGATATAGACGTCCAAAAAATTATCTTTTGATGCACTAAAGAGAACACTGTGCCGACAGATTTGTTTGACTTAAACGAGGAGGGAGAGAGGGAGAGAGGGAGAGAGAATAACATCTCATGGTATAAAAAATTACCATTCAATTAAATCAAATTATAATAAGAACTACATATGGATGCAAATTCTCATCAATAATTTGTTTTCAATTTTCTTTTTAATGCATAATCTGTCATTAATAATTGCGGGATTTACTTGTATATAACAAGTTCTACTTGAATGTATAATAGGTGATTCATCAAAAAGATATATTGAAAAGAGTCTCACTCCACAAAATATAAAATTATTGTTTTTCGTATATTTCTTACATAATTAATCACTATAAGAGAATCAAATCATGCCACTAAAAGATTCTATTGAGACGAAGATGGGTTGTCCAACATGGACATTTGGTCAAATTTAATATGGATCGTACATAGACAATAGTTGGGAACTATTGGTTCTAAACTTTCTCTGATGATTAATCAACAATTCAAAGAATTTTTATTGTGTATTTTTAATAAATCAGCGTTTATATATGAATGTAACAGGATCAATTTACAAAGTAAGAAACGCCTTTGACATTTCTTCATCAATAAATAATGCCAATGTAAAACACAAAATATCGCAGAGCAAAACTAGTGGATTTGTAAGGTTCAAAATGAATTTTACTGGTACCACATGTAATTAAGTTTAAATTCAATAACACTCCCTTTTAATTTTAAAACTTCATTGTACATCTTTTTTATTTATACTTTTAAATCAATGCCACCCCCTTAATGATAACTTTTATTTCTATCATTTGATAAAGTAACAATTTAACTAAATATTTTTAAAAAATATCAAAATTACCCTTTGTTATGTAAATAGATTCAAATACCCACAATCTTTCCCCCATTATATATGCTCTAACCAACCAACAAGCTTGATTTCTATCATTATACTATCCCAATAGTTTTTTATCATTTTAAAATGTGGCATGATAACTTTGTTATAATATTAGTCATCATATACCATTCATTTAGTTATATAATCAAGTTTTTATAATTTTTATAGTTAAAAATAATTTTTTTATAATAAAAATTCTAATCGATAAAGTCAATGTCAAAATCTCACCAATTTCTAACTTTTTTGTTATCGTTTGTTCTCCACAACGTCACCCAACCACTCTTCACATATCACTTTTTATATATAAAATTTGAATATTATTAGATAAAATTTAATACTAATTGAATAAATTAGATCTTAATTTGACAAATTTAAATATTAAATTTGTGTTAATTTGATAAAATTAAATATTAATTCAGTGTTGATTTGATAAAATTTAATGTTAATTGAATAAATTTGAATGTTACTTTAATGAAATTGAATGTTCATTTGGTGTTAAATTAAATAAATGACATTATTTTTTATAAGGTTAAATGTTAAATTAATGGAATTTAATATTCTATATAATATATTAAATTTTAATTTAATAAAATTGAAAGTTAATTTAATAAAATTATATAATAATTTAATATTAAATTAAAGAAATAGTATTACTTTGATGAAATAAAATATTAAATTAATATAACTAAATGCTAATTTGATAAAATTAAATATTAATTTTGTGTTGATTTGATGAAATGAAATGTTAATTTATTTAAATTAAATAAAGGATATTAATTTGATAAAATTAAATATTAAATTAATAAATTTAAGGGTTAATATAATATAACTAAAAAGGAGTGTATTAAAATTTCAAAATCGGGAGGGGCTGTTGTTAAAGTTAGGTCTATTTAGAGGGGGATATTGTTAAAGTTAAGTCTATTTACAATGGTTGTGGATAAAATTTATCCTATAAAATACTCAGGGGTATTTTTGTAAATCAACAGTCTCCGTTAACGTGGTAACCTGAGAAACACTAATAGGGAGCGACAATAAAATTTCAAAATTAGAAAATGGTGTCATTGAATTAGACTTAACTATACAAAGTATGAATAAAACTGTCCCCATACAATCATCAAATATTGGAACTCACAAGTCCCAACTAATTCAATAACTACATTGTATTAGATTTCGAGATTGTGTCCATAAATTAAATAGTAATATTATTATGGCCTAATTTATTGACCTAATATATTATAGGTCTTGGATTGACTGTGAATCTCATTAAATATTAAAATTTATTGTTGATTCAATAATTATAATAAAATTATATTATTAGGCCAATAAATTAAATTAAATTTTTAACTCACAATAGTATTTTTCTAAATTAAATCTACGTAACAGTTTATTTTTTCTTTTCATATTGTTACCTCACCGGTGTGACGGTGTCCACGTGGCACCATAAATTAGAACTTGCTTTTATTTGATGACACGTCACACGCAAATTACACTGCCAACATTTATGTGAGAGATATGGGAGCTGTCGGAGGGAGACTAATCATAGAGGCCGTGGGCCACCACTGAGGCCGACATGAGTGGCATAAGAAAAATGGACCAACCGGTAGTTAACCATCCTTTCAAAGTTCTGGTGGACAATTACAGATTCATCCTAAGGACCTCAATACTCTCATGTTCTGTGTGGGAGGAGAGAAACAATTAGGATGATTATCCTTAAAAAAAAAAATGGTAAATTACATTCGCACCCTCTGACATTTAATTTCATTGTACAAACACTTTCTTACACTTCAAAAATAACACAGAAATCCCTTAACATTTGAACACTCGTGACAATCGCACGCTTTTTGTATGGCAGATGTTAACTATTTCATTAAAAAAAAATTTTTACCCTTATATCATTGAGATTAACCATCTCATTGAGAAAATTCTAACTCCTAATCAAATTTGTCGGAAAATTTAATTGAATCAAACTAATCTACTAATTAAGGCAATTTATCTCTAAATTTTTTTCAATTATAGTTAATTTCATTCATTAATTTAAATTTAGCCCCAAATTTAATTCTAATTTATACACAAAATTAATTAGTTTAATCACACTAATTACTTTAGATTTGTCCCCAAATCCGCCATTTAACACCATCACCATGCACCACCAATTGCCGCCTCCACCACCAGTGAAATTCACCACACAAATCCACCTAATTTGCCCTCAAATCCACAAACACAAACCCACCAAACCATCAATCTCCACCGCCACAATCCACCTTTCAGTGAAATCCACAAAGCACTGCGAGTCCACAACCCAATACCCGCCTCTTGGTAAAGGGAAACCAGCAAACCACTGTCCAACTCCTGCAACACCCACAAACAAACCCTCCC